ACACACACACACATACATATATGTTCCCCTGCCATCAGTACCCAAACACTCTCACATAAACACTCGTATCTGCTTGCAGCACACTTACAGGTATGGACACGTTCTCTCATGCTGCATGCATGTGAAACAGGGGTCAACTGAGGCTATCAGCTAGCGCTACGCAGTAAATGTTCTCAATGGCTGGTTATTGCATCAGACACGTCACCCTGTCTGAAAATGAGGAACAGATTTTGCAATATCTGTAAATTGTACACACATGCATGAAACCCTCCACAGGCCACAGGGCTTCCAAACTTTCTCGGCCCATAGGATGAGGCGTGGCACCGATGCTCACCCACGCACATGTGCAGCATTTTTCTAAAAGGGATTGTTAGGGCAGATGTTCAGTGTATGCCCTATAATAAAGTGGGCGTGAGGCTCTGATTTGTCTTTTATTTTTTTATGAATGAGAGACACATCCAGTCTCTGTGGGATACAGAATCAGCCAGCCTCTCTGACAAATTGAAAATCACAGTGCCAGTTTGTGTTGTGTGACTCATCTCGGATCCTGACAGGAGAATGCACAGATAAAGAGTTCCCCTTTGTGAGGAGATTGCAAATTGCCGCTGTTGTTGTTTTTTTATGTGGAGGACAAATTGCGGCACAACTGAATGGAGCTGGATTATTGTTAATACATAAACGTTCCTGGAGATCACACAGAAAGTCTACTAAAACATTCAGAACAACGTGCGGGTTAACAATGAAAAACACTATCGCCAAAAGACATTTGAGTAACTGTGCTAATCTGTTACTTATATAAATACAGACGCTGTTTTCTCCACATTTCATACTGTGTCTGTACAGTTCAGTGTTTCTGCCTGTATGTGTTTTCAACCAAAGCCAAATGTAGATGTCTGTTTCCTGTGCTTTGAAGTGGATGTGATATACTCCACAGCGACTTGGAAGCCTTGAAGACAAAAAAGGGAAATGAGAGTTTGCTGGGAATCTGTAGGAAGCTCTCGTCGTCACAAAGTCTGGGGTCACCGGAGGATCTGGGCCTGGGGAGCAGAACGACAGGAGACTGTTTATGGGATGTTTAAAAGATTGCAGCAGGCTTACAGGACAATTAAAACTGAACATTAGCGGCTCACCGTGCCAGCAGGCGTGTCACCTCGACCGGCTTTATGGGTGCTCTGGTGTCTGCGGTGTGCATTCTTCACAGTGGGGTGTGATTAAAGGCACAGCAGCAAAGAGTAAACCGTTAGGACACCGGGGCTGCTGGTGCCCTTGTCCTGCCTCCTCCTCACTTTGACAGCAGCACATAAAACAAAAAGTAGCCACATGCGCTCCTCTATGATCACCTGACCACAAAATGCTCTTAGGATTGAATCACTGTGGCACAGTCTTGTTATAGAAAGCACAGAAGACAGAGCAAGAAGTCCTTCTGCATTTTATGTCAGACAGATTTGCACCCAGTTGTTAAAAACAGTCCAGGCAGCGTCTTTGGCTCTGTAAACATCTCACAGTAGCCCTTTTTTTTCCCCCCACATGTGACCTGTTCACGCTGCAGATAGAAGGGAAAGAAATGTGATGTTTTCACATTCTGTTTGTTCTCACTAGTCAATCGAGGGAGAGTAGGAGAGGAGGCTGGTTATGCTTTTTGAGTGGGTGTCTCCCGGTCGCACGTGATCACGTTTGCTGTGAGAGGGTTCGTGACTCACTGGCTCCAAGCTCAGGATCCTCGTCTGGCCTCTGACAGAGTGCTCCCTAATCCCACCCCTCTCAGGCAGTCAAACCGAGGTCCTGTGAGTCACGGCTTTACCGTCAATGTGGCCCAAAAAAACAAAAGAGAGAGAGAAAACACGCTGCATGTCGACTGTATCTTCGATTACAGGCAGTTTTTCTTGTAGAATGATTTACTTATTGTGGGTTAAAGGCTGGAGCTTTTAAAGATGAGTAACATGAAATAAGGACTAATTAATTTGATTTTAATTCATTTTAATGTCTCACTTACTGACTCACAACTTAGAGGCCTCTGGTAACTCATAAAGCCTACATGCAAATGAGAGGTGGAAAGTAACTAATTACAATTTTGAGATACTTCACTTGAATATTTCCATTTTAATGCTTCTCCATACTTCAGCTCTACCACATTTCATTAGGAAATAATGTACTTTTCACTCCACCCCAAAACAGTTACTAGATACTTTTCTAATTAAAGTTTGATATATAAAACATGACCATCTTATAATTTATGATGCATTGATATAGATTAAACTACCACACGTATCTAAAGGCTTATATAACTGTTACTAACATTACAGCTCGCAATAATATGATACTGTAACAGACATTTTAAGCAATATCACATTCTGCCTAATGCTTTTTTTTGTATACTTTAAATAACATATTGTTGTTTGTTGTGTATTTTTATTGCTACTTTAAGTAATTATTATTAT